TCATCTGAGGGGATTTAATACACAGAATAAAATACAGCAAGTGGAAGAACTAAAAAACCAAACAGAATGAGGTCATCCAAAGATTAGCAACCAGGGGGCCACTACCATCCCTAAGGCTGCAAGGAAATAGAGAGGATGTGCTGTTAGTAGAGCCAGGAGCGAAGACTGCCCAGCAGGAGCTAGAACCCAGAAGACATAACCAGAGACACTCTCCAAGGCAGAAGGAGAGAGGAGCTGTGGTCTCCCTTTCTCCTGTCCTCTCATTTTCCCCAATGCCTCTCACTGGCCAAAGGTAAGTAGAAGGGGGCCTGGCAAATGTAGTTTGCAGGGGAAGCTGAGGGAATGGATCTATGGGGAAAAAGGAAAATGACCAGCACAGACACAGTGGAAGGTTGTGGGGCTTACCCAGCATTGCAGTTAGTATGTGGCAGAGCCAGGACTCAATTATCTGGTTCCATGTCAAGATTTTTAAAATATTTATTTATTTATTTGAGAGAGGGGAAAGAGAAAGAGAGAGAGAGAGAGAGAGAGAAACATCGATTGGTTGCCTCTCACACATGCCTGGACCGGGACTGAATGCACAACCTACGCATGTACCCTGACTGGGAATTGAACCGTGACCTTTCAGTTTATGGGATGATGCCCGACCAACCGGGCCACACCGATCAGAGCCATGACTAGATTCTTAATCACTGTGCTATGTGACTGTCCAAGGTAAAGTTACAGCAGAACCCAGGTTCCCTAACTCATATTCAAAGACCCTCTTTGCCTTCTTACCATCATCACCAGGACCATCCACAGCCATCTCACCTCTTAATACATTTAAAACAAAGGTTGATTCATTGGTCAAAGTGATGCTAACGAGGTAGCCATGGCCACTGTCTAGGTATGGGGAACAGGAAGGCTTTCTGCAAAAAGTTCTAAAAACTAGTCTATACAAAGACTTCTGAGCTTAACAGAGTCTTTCTCAAACTGTAGAGTGCATAAAGAACATCTGGAGAACTTGTGAAAATGTAGATTATAAGGCTCACAACACCAGTTAGTCAGTAAGCAGAGAGCCAGGAAACTGCATCTTTAACAAGTAACCCAGATGAGAGCCTTGCCAGGTACCTCAGTTGGTTAGGGTATCATCCTGATATGCCAAGTTTGTGGGTTTGATCTCTGGTCAGGGCATATACAAGCAGCAACGAATAAGTGCAAAAATAAATGAAACAACAAACTGATGCATTTCTCTCAAATCAATTTTTAAAAAAAGTAACCAAGATGATTTTGATGCCATTAGTAACCAAGCCTCTGAGAAACACTGCTTTAAAACTGCAAAAAAGTGCAAAAAAACTAAAACAGAGTCCCAGTCTAAGAGATGAAGGACCAAGAATTAGTGAATTCAGAAGTGTACCTGACACGCATTCAAGAACACCACCCTTAGAAGAGCAGAAAGACTTCAATGACCATGAATGTCTATCAATGCCAAGCCAGGTCGCAGCCATTCTGCAGATCCATTTCACTGACCTTGGCTGCCAAGGGTAGAGGCAGCTGTGTGGTAGGTCTCACAGTCCACACAAAATGTTCCTTGCTTCTCTGCCCCAAGCATCTCCAATTTCCGGGTGAGGAGCTCCACGGTCTGCTGGACACTCTTGCCCTCAGCCACAGGCATCTGCGACACACTGAAAGGGAAAGAACCAAACCATCAGCATCCACAGCCACATGTGGACTCACTGAGCCACTCAGTCACCACAGAATCATAGCTCACTGGGATCTTAGATATCATCTACCACCACCCCCTTATTTTAAGATTTTATTTATTTAATTTTAGAGAGAGGGGAAGGGATGGAGGGAAACACCTATGTGAAAAACAAACACCAATCAGTTGTTTCTCACACGCCCCCAACTAGGGACCTGGCCTGCAACCCAAGCATGTGCCCTGATCAGGTATCGACCAGCGACCTTTCCGTTTGCAGAACAATGCCCAACCGACTGAGCCACACCAGTTAGGGCAAAATCCTCCTATTTTAATATTTTTATGTATGTATTTATTTATTAAGAGCCCTCTCACAACCAAGAGATTTTATTTATTTTTTAGACAGAGGGGAAGGGTGGGAGAAAGACAGGAAGAGAAACATCAATGTGTAGTTGCCTCACACACGCCCCCTACTGGGGACCTGGCCTGCAACCCACATGTGCCCTGACTGAAAATTGACCCACTGACTTTTAGGTACATAGGCCGCCACTCACTCCACTGAGCCACACCAACCAGGTCATGACCCCCTTATTTTAAAGATGAGGAAACAGAGGACCCCAGCCCCTAAGAACTAGATAGACCACAGGCTTCAAGGCTGTTACAACTGTGCACTGAACTTCCCGTCACACCACAATTTCCCGAGCATGCCGTGTGTGCCAACATTCAAGAGAAGCAGACTGAGCATTTGATAACACTGAGTCATGTAGTAAGGATTTCCCTTACAATTATTTCAGTTCTGACTATATCAAGGAGAAAAGCCTCAATTTGCAGTTAGTATGTTTTCCCCAACTCTCCAACACAGCCATTTTCAACCAGTGTGACTCAGCAGGCACGTTGGTGTGCCACAGAATTTTTTAAAAATGCAGCACCTGACTATTTAGTCAGGGGCACTGACCTCTTTTCCCTTAGACTGTCAAATAAAAAAATGAAAACAGACAACACAACAATAGCCATCAGTGTGAATGAATCAAAATTATATCTATCTTTTTTGTCAGATTGGTGAGAAACCTATTTTTTGGTGCGGCGTGGAGTTCACATGTGCCATTGGTTCGACCAAAAGGTCGAAAATCGCTGCTCTAGTACTTTGATGTCGGTTGTCCAGTATAGTAGCCAAAAGCCACTGTGGCCATTTACAGCCAAACTAATAAAAGGAATTCAGTTACAATTTCAACTCTTCACCTGCACTGCCGACAATCTGAAGGCTCAATAGCCACATGTGGCTGGGGGCGGGTGTAATAAACAGCGCTGATACAGAACATTTCCATCAGTGCAGAAAGTTGTATTCAACAGCCCTAGGATCTAAGGGAAAGCCTCGAGTTTGTAATCTTTGGGCGTGGCAAGAATGTAATCAAAACAACAAAACAAAAAAATGTTACTGCCAAGATTTCCTTCTATGCTGAGTGAAAGTGGCTTCCCCTTTATAGAGTGATAATTAGCCATCACCAAGCCCCCAACTATGTGCCAGAAGGTGCCCAAAAGCCTGTAGATAAATTAACTACATACTTTGAATCCTCTCAGCCGCCCCAGAAGCTGTGCTATTATTTATCTCTTCGTCACAAGTGAGAAAACCCAAGTGCAGAGAGGCCGACTGACTTGCACAAGGTCACACAGCTTGGTGTGGTGCAGCCAAACCTCAAAGCCAAGCAAGCTGGCTCTGTGCCTGTGCCTTAACTACTAAACTAGACTGCTTCCCTAGGGATGTAGTTAAGATACCTTTAAAGAAAACAATAGATTTAAAAGAAAACACTAATAAATAATAGTACAGGTTGTACTTAGTTATATAAAAATCAGAAAGGCAGTGACTGAATTTTGGGAGACTGCATTACTTCAGGGTCAACCAGCCAAATGAAGTGATAATGGCCGAGTCCTACTGCTGTTAAAAATTGTCACTACTCTCCAGGAGAAAAAGCACTGACAAGGAATGATGATGATGTGCCTTATTTTGAAACGTAAGAGCATCCCTAAAACGATGCTGCTGGGGTGAGAAGTCCTAGGAATCTGGGAGAGTTGATAAGGGTCCCAACAGACAGAGAACCCTTCCCTCTGCCTGCCTTCTCTACTGAAGGCAACAGGGGCTTGCAGGGTCCCAGCCTCTGTGCTGCAAACTTGCTGTCCCACCCCTCACACATCTCCCTTGCACTAGAGGACTCGGAGGAGGTCCGTGATCTCAAATGTGGGAAACAAAAGTGCAATCCCCGACAAACCTGCAAGAACCTGGGCTACCAGGAGGAGTTTCCACAGGCCCTCATACGAGAAGCCTGTGGTCACCGACTTCAGGTAGCCTGCCTGGCCTCCCCAACCCTCTCTGATTGGAAATGCTCACACTTACTGATATTTCTAAAAAGAAAAAATACAAAAGCTCCGAAATCCAGCATTTTGTAACCAATGCCTCCAAGAGCAGGACTTACACACCTTTCCCTGACACCTTGATTTCTCATACGTTAGAGATAAAAAGTCCACAGAACTAGACGAATGGTACAGAAGACACGTCCCGAAGAAATGATGTGCCTAGAACACTAATCTCCTAATTCCCGGCAGTTTTTTCCCCCTGTGGACCCCAAGATCTTAAATGGCCAAACCAGAACCAGACAGAGGCTGGTCTAACTACATTTACTAGCTGTAGGGAGGGAAGATACAGGCGAACACCTTTGAAAAGAGATACTGTCTCCTTCTTGCCTATCCCCAAACGCTCGCAGGTCAGCCTACTGATGGGCTCTAGCCCGCACGCCCTATTTCCGATCCTTAAACTTCCACCCCGGGCCTCACCTGCAGAAAGATGTACCACGAAAATGGGAAGGAGGTACCCAAACCTGGATGGGTTCTGGGATGAAACCCAGGAGGAAGGGGGCGCATCTCTGAGAAAACAGGCTGGGGGACTCCACAGCCCTCACGGTGTCCCCCTCACCCACACAATCTGAGGATTTTCGTGCTAAACTACTGAGGGACAGCAGACTCAGTTCCAGATCTTTCTCCCGGGTACACTCCAGACTCAGGGCTCTGAGGGCCCTTCAAGGCCCCAAGTCCCGCCCCACAAAACCCCTCGCGTTCCTACCAAGTCACTCCCATGATGTCGAACAAGGAGGGTGGAAAGGCCAAACAGTTGAAACGCGGAGCCCTCCGCCTGCGAACGATAAGGGAAGCCCTCCTAGGCAAGCGTTGGTGGGGAGAGGTGTTGCGGAAATTACGTAAAAACAGAGCGCCCAGTGGACGCACCACAAGGAACAAGGGCTTGTCTAGGCGTCACCTCGGTGTTACCTCTATTGGTATCAACCGGCTTGCAACATTCTGTGCATAAATCCACGGACCTTAAAAAAGCCGGCGTTAAATGCAATAAGTCTATCCCAAGTCTAGAGGCAGGACAGTGAGTTCTTAGCATGTAGGACGTCGCTGATGACACTTCTGGCCTCCGAACTGTAGGCGGCGCTGTGATCTGTTTGGCCTCTTGGGAGCTGAGGGTTCACCGCGCAAGCGTACTGAGAACTTCTCGTCTGTGTCCACGTGTGAACTGTCTGGGCAGCTTTTTCGAGAAAAATGCCCAAATTCAAGGCGGCCCGCGGGGTGGGAGTTCAGGAAAAACATGCGCCCCTTGCCGAGCAGATTCTGGCTGGGGACGCGGTGCGGCTAGGGGCTCGGGAGAAGCGGCGGGGTCGCGGAACCGAAGAAGAGGAAGAGTATGTAGGGCCCCGGTTGACCCGACGAATTTTGCAGCAAGCGCGGCAGCAGCAGGAGGAGCTGGAAGCCGAGCATGGGACTGGGGGCAAGCCCGCGGCGCCCCGGGAGCGCATCACGCGGCTGGGTGAGTGGCGTGTATGGGTCCAAGGAAAAAGGAGGTTAGATGAGGATGGAACGGTGTCGGACAGGGGAATAGCTTGGAATAAAAAAGAGTGGGTGATAGTACTTTCTTACGAAGGTAATGGAATGGGACACCCAGCCCCGGAGCCGATTTGGGATAGTCAGCGCCCTCCACTCCCACTGCTAGGTTTAGGCCTTGTCTTCGAAGTACCGCTGAAGTTAGTCCAACCAGAAGAGATTGGACTAACGCCACTCCCCACGCCACTCAGTTCTCCTAGTATTTATGCATTTGTTTTATGAATACTTACGGATGTCTGCTAGTACTTGGTACAGTGCTAGGGAGCTTAGAAGGTTTGGATAGGTAAACAAGGTAGATATGTGCCTGACATCAGGATTTTACAGTCTAGCCCAGGAGAAAGTACACAATAGACAATGAGGATAATACATTCCACAGTAAAGTATAGTTTATTCTGATGACAATAGCATTGATCTTGGGGGTCAGGCTCCCCAGATAGCATGTCCTTTATGCTGAGACCTGAAAAACGAGTGGGGAGTGCTCTGAGCAGAAATATTGTTTAGGGGCCAAAGAGGGAGAAAAAGTAAGTAAAAGATGATCAACATTTTCTAATTAGGGTAGGAGTGTCGACCTCCCTATTTCGTATCTCAGATATTTTGCTCAGAGTGGAACATTGGCTTCCTGGCTAAGTATCTTTACTTGGCTTCTGAGAAGAAGTATTACGTTCCTGTGTTACTACTTTCTCACCTCTCAGTATCCTTTGCTGGATCCCCTTTGGTCCCCAACCTCTTAGTGAAGAGCCAGAGGGTTCAGTCTTTGGACCTCTTCACTCACTTCTCTGGTGCTGTCATCAGTTCTGTGGTTCAAATACCACGTATTTGGTGACTGCTCGCGCCTTTATATTCTGGCCTGGATTTCTTTCATGAAACCTAGATTCTTCTGTTGCCAATTTGGCATCTCCAGTTTGAAGTCTAATAGACATTTCAAACATAACATATCCAAAATAGACCTCACCAAATCTGCCCCTCCATCTTCCTCATCTCAGTTAATAGCATGATATCTTTCCATTTGCTTAAGACTAAAGCCTTGGACTTCTCTCTCTAATTCCACATCTGATCTGTTGGGAAACCCTGTTGACTCTCCCTTCAAAATGTATCCAGAATCAGACCACTTTTCACTACCTTGGAACACCATCCTCTTCAAGCCACCATGATCTCTCTCTCTCCCTCACCTGGATTATTGCAGTAGCCTCCTCATTAATGTCCCATAATCCCTACAGCCCGCTCTCAACTCAACAGCTAGAGGAGTACAATGGTTTGCAAAGCTCTGTGTGATCAGCTTCCATTGCCAGTGCGACTTCTATGTCCCCTTTTTCACTCCCCACTTATAAGCTTAAACAGGGCAAGTTAGGGCCTTGGCCCTGATTTCTCCTTCTGTCCTCCTGCACTTGTAGGCATGCTCCCTCATTTCTTCACCTCAGAGAGGCTTCCCTGACCGCTTCATTAAAAATTGCAACACCCCCACTGCTGTCTCCACAGTCCTGGCTTCTCTACTCTGCCCTCTTGCTTTTGTCATAGTGCTTGTTTTTGAACCTCTTACGTGTTATATCGTCTGTCTTCCCCCGCTAGAATATAAGCTCTACAGGGCAAAAGATTTTGTTTCTCTGGTTCATTTAAATATTTCTAGCACCCAGAACAGTGTCTCATATATAGTAGGCACTTAATGTTTGCTGAATGGATTGTGTAATGAATGGATTAGTGAATGATGGTGAGGTGTGTAGAAGCCAAATCTGCAAAAGCCTTGGAGGTTGTTCCCAGGATTTAAAGCTATCATAAAGACAATGGAAAACTATTGGAGAATAGGGAGACCAGTTAGGGGATTACTGAATTAATCCAGGCAAGAGAAGATGCTGACCTAGAGTTAGACAGAACTGGGAAGGATTTGAAAGATATTCTATGAGGTAGAATTGAATAGGACTTGGTAATTAATTGGATGTTGGGGTGAGGGCAGGAGATGACACAGGCCTGCCTTCCTGGTTCTGGCATGTCATTGAGGTGGTGGCTGTGCCAGGTCTTTAGATGTAGAACACAGTGAGTACAGTGAGTAGTATAGACTTGGGAGGAAAAGAGTGAATTCCGTTGATGATAGGTGAAGTTTAAAGTGCCCGTGAGTCCTGCAAGGGTGGCTGTACAGGTGGCAGCTGAAGTTACAGTCTGGAGTGAAGGGACATCTACCTACAAGTATAGATTTGGAGACAAAACATCTGTATCGTGTGCGTCCCCATCCCCCTCATTTAGCTTTCCTCACACGCTCCCTCTGTTAATGACCTGTTCAAATGCAGCATTTTATCTCCCTGACTGGAGTACTGCATCCCTTACCAGATGCCCAGCCAGCTGGATCCTTCTACTAATCAGTTATTCAGCTATTCCGTTGGCCCACTGAAATCTGACCTGTACTGACTAACCTCAAGGCCTTCCACAGTTTGACTTTTTACGCATCCAGCCTTATTTCTCGCTGCAGCCTGTCTGTAACCAAGCCCATTTGCCAGTGTTGTAACCCAGGTTTGGAACATGTTCCACCTGCTCCCATGCTCCCCACTGGGAGCCTCACCAGCCTCTGCACTTCTCTTCTAAGTGCCTATGGTATACACTGTCTCTACCATTCATTTGGCATATAATCAAGCCCTACCGTGTGTGTAGAATGCAGATGAAGAATGCACAGTCTAGATCTAGACTACCTGTCATAGGTAAATTACCTAACTGTCTGTGTTTTAGTGTTTTCTATCTGAAACTGGGTATAATAATAGGACATACTTCTTGGGGTAGTAAGGGTTATATACAGTGTTTAGAACAGTTCGTGCTACATCACTGACTATAGTGTGTTAACTACGATGTATTGGCACTGCTGTCTCGTTTTTTCATATATGTACATTTTCTTAAGCAGGCTTGTAAGCCCCTGGTGCAGGAAGGTAGCGTGTGCACCGCTGCTTCACTGCACACACCTGTGTCTGTTACAAGCACATGTGAGGCTTGTACTCTCCATGTAGATGGTTACATTGACCTCTAAATCCCTCACCCACCACCTGCCTCGCCCATCTAGTTTATCTCCCCTCCTCTAGGTCCAGGAGTGCCACAAGATGGATCAGATGATGAGGATGAAGAGTGGCCCACCCTGGAGAAGGCTGCCACAATGACAGGGGTGGGCCACCATGCAGAGGTGGTCGTGGACCCTGAGGATGAGCGTGCCATTGAGATGTTCATGAATAAAAACCCTCCTGCCAGGTAGGGTTGGCATGGCCTGGAATTTGGGGTATGGGTCCTGGTAGCAACTTGCCACAGGGAAGCATATGCCCCAGCAGAGTTTTGATTTCCTCCCTTTGGGAAGGGCCTGATCATGGCTGGTTGTGGGGAACCACCTCGGTAACATTGAGCCATCCTCAAAGGGCCATTCTAAGTGAGAATGACTCGGACTCAGAACATCTGCGTCCACTCTGCCCACTGTTCTGGAGCTGCTCGGATTACCTAGGGAAATAGCTGCCCGGCCTTTTTATGTTTCTAGGGAGACGTGTCCCATCCCATTTGCTCTTGGCATGCTCAGTTTTCCTACTCGTGACCTCAGTTTCCTTAGCTAAATGTCTTTCATACCCTAAGCTTCATTTTATTCAGGATTTTTCAGCCTTAGCACTGTTGGCATTTTGGACCAGATACGTCTTTTTTGTGGAGGCTGTCCTATGTGATGTAGGATATTTGGCAACATCCCTGACCTCTACCCACTGGGCACCAGTAGTGACCTTCCCCCCATTTGTGATAACCAAACATGTCTCAGGCATTGGTAGATGTCTCCTAGGGGGCAAATTCACCCCCAGGTAGAACCACTAATTCATTCCCATCCATAATAAATGCCAGCTCTAACACATGCAAGCATTTAAGCTCCTGTGGTCAAACTCCTAAGCATATGGATTTTAGTCCAGGGTAGGGGAGTCTGGGATAAGGGCCCCCAACCAGTTCATTCTGACCCTGTGATATTAGCATGACATCGGTCTTGCTTCTCTACGCTGTTTTGGATTAATGCATTTCTCATTGCTAATAAGACAGTGAAAAGAAGAGGAGGCTGAATGATAAGGTCTGTGGTAGTTTATTTGAAAGCACAGAATGAAGAAATGAGTTCCTTTCCCAGACTAGACGTCACACAGTGTGTGCTGGGGCTTGTGTGCTTGTCCCACCAGAGAGCCTCTCAGTGCCTTATAACTCCATGTTAACAGCTCCTCTGACAAGCTTGGCAGAATGGTTTTCCAGCTTGCAGTGAACAGAAGAGTAAAGCTACAGAAACCGGAACTCCTGGCAGTCCTGAGAAATGCCGCTGGCATCTTTAGAAAGCAGGCCTAGACCCACGTGAACAGAGGCCAGAGGCCATCGGGTTTGGTGGCACGAGGCAGTGTGCTCTGAAGAACCTGAACAGCCAGGGTTTGACCCCCCTGAGCAGAGCTTGCTGAGACCTTGGGGGAGTTACTCACCTGACTACCTGTTCCCATGTTGAATAAGGGAACGCCACCTCACACAAGTGTTGCACGGACTGTATAAGATAACATCTGGGAAGTCCTGTACTCAGTGTCTGGCCTTGAGACAACCCTCAGAAAACAGGAGCTGTTTAAAGTATACTTTAGCAGCTTCTGAAGAAGCCATTCTTATACCAAAGCTAGTGTAATGAGAATTCTGAATCATCACAATAAAAATTATGTTTAATATACTTTTCAAGGAGACTAAGAAAAATATTAATCTTGGAACTACTTGCATAGATTTTAGTAAAATGGTGGGGAGTTTGTGCTCTGGTCTTTTTCTAAACCCAGCTACTTGAAATCTTAGTGTATAACTAAGATGAGTGGCACTCTGAGATGAAAGGACAGACCAGGGTTCTGTGGTCGGAGAGACCTCAGCATGTTGCCAACCTATGAGGAGTGTGTCTGAAACAGGCAACACTCATCACACATTTATGTACAAGCAATAATTCATTGATTCCTAATGTTGACTTTACGAGCTAGGTACAGTTATTATTACTCTGTTTGATAGATGAGGAAACTGAAGCATAGAGAGGCAAAATAGCATGCCCCAGGTCATACAGAGTGTGGGTCATACAGCAGTGGAAAGGCCAGGATTTAAGCCCAGGCAGACTGGCTCCAGAGCCCAGGTTCTTAATCTCCACACAACTGTCCACTTTGTCCTAAGTTGAATGACTTTCAGGTCATTTGTGCTCTGCAGCGATCCTGTGGTGGGTGGACAGGCCCAGAGGGGAACTGAGGTCAATCCTAGCAAGGTGGCAGGTTCGTTGGAGCTCATAAGGGACTGTGCGTGGTGTCTAGAGCTTCCCAGACTGTGACTGCAGCACTCCCACCCACCTCCCTCCCTTTCCCTCTGCACCCCCTTACCCTTAGGCGCACCCTGGCTGACATCATCATGGAGAAGCTGACTGAGAAGCAGACGGAAGTTGAGACAGTCATGTCCGAGGCAACCGGCTTCCCTGTGCCCCAGCTGGATCCCCGGGTCCTGGAGGTCTACAGAGGAGTCCGGGAGGTGAGAGCCAGAATACCCTCACAGGGGCTGTGGGTTCCCTCCTAAGATTTTGGATGCTCACACGTCATACACAGAAGGCCTGGTGGCCGAGAACAGTCTTAAGTCAGAGTCATGGGTTCAGAGTCCTGCTGTTCCACTCAGTGACTTGGGGGCTATGGGCAAGTTTCTTAACTCTCTGGTTTCGGTTTCCCTGTCTGGAAAGTGAGGATGGTAATAGCATCTCTTATATGGTGGCTGTGAGGATTGAGTGAATGAATATGTGACAAGCACCTGGCAAGCAGTACACAAATATATGTTAATAGCAATGATGGTTTTACTTGCTCACCCCCAGGTGTTATCTAAGTACCGCAGTGGGAAGCTGCCCAAGGCATTTAAGATCATCCCTGCGCTCTCCAACTGGGAGCAGATCCTCTACGTCACAGAGCCTGAGGCCTGGACTGCTGCTGCCATGTACCAAGCCACAAGGTAGAGTAGATGGGGGTTAGAATGGCCTTATGTCTCTAGGTAAGGGCTGGGGCGTGGAAAGTACAGGCTTTCCTTCCCTTTGTCATTACATTTTAACTTTGCCTCAGAGCTCTCTGTTGTGCTTATTTGTATCATCATTTTCCAGCTTTTCCTGTTTCATGTTTTGGGGCCAAGACCCTATTGAGACTCTCCTGTGATGAGTTTCTAGGGAAGAGGTTTGTAACTACAGGGCTACAACCCTGGATGTCAGGCTGGCCTCAGAAGCCTGTGGCTCCCCAGGCGCGCTCAGGTCCCTTGAAGGGTAGAGAAGAGCCACGATGGGGAGAGGAAGGTGCATAGCTGAATAATCATCGGTTCGGGGGTGTTTCAGCTCTCAGTGTTCCCCTGTTTGGATACCTCTTGTAGCCTCTCCTGTTCTCTCCGATCTGAAGTGGGTGTGGCATGCACACAGCTCACACACTCTCACAGACCCCTCAAATATCTTGCATACACCATTTACAGTGAGAGTTAAAGGGCCAGCTCCAGACCATCAAGTGACCTGGGATTTCCCTACTGCTGCCTCCTCTTCCCCCCCAAAAAAACTAGGATTTTCACCTCTAACCTGAAGGAACGCATGGCCCAGCGTTTCTTCAACCTTGTCCTGCTCCCCCGGGTACGGGATGACATTGCTGAGTACAAACGACTGAATTTCCACCTCTACATGGCACTCAAGAAGGCCCTGTTCAAGCCTGGAGCCTGGTTTAAAGGTGAGAACCCAGGAGGCAGTTAGGAAAGGGAGGGGCTGGAGTTCCTGCAGGTGAGAGCACTGAGGTCGACTTGGAAGGACAGCTGTCTCTGGTAGGCAGGGGTGCTTCCTGCTGTACCTCCTTTTTCTCACCTTGGGCTCCAAGTGACTGCCCCTCTGACCCTCCCCAGGGATCCTGATCCCACTGTGTGAGTCAGGCACCTGTACCCTCCGGGAAGCCATCATCGTGGGTAGCATCATCACCAAGTGCTCCATCCCTGTGCTGCATTCCAGGTAGTGTTGGTGGGGAAGGAGGAGAACTAGTCAGTGGACTCACCAGAACTTGAAAAGTTGGTGGGGGACAGAGTGGAGAAGGAGCTAATGATAGCCCTGCATTTGTGGCTTATTGAAGCCAGTAAGTGTGCCATTACCCTACTAGATGGTAAATCCCACAAGAATAGGGCCCCAGTGCCTGCCACATGGTAGGTGCTCAGTAAACAGTTGAATGAATGAATAGAGAATATGGGAAGACAATAGGCTAGGGGTGGAAATGTTGAGATATTTGGGCATACTGTAGGAGAATACTGACAAGCAGTCTGAGCCATAGGTATGGGGATTTGTGATGCATCAGCATAGAGATAACTGGACTGCAGGGAGGATGATCAAGACTGCATAGCTGAGAGGAAGGCCTGAGCTGGTGTTCTTAGGAGTTTTAGGGGCCAGCAGAGGAGGAGAAGAGGGAAAAGGCACAGAGAGGGAGAAGTAGAGCCTCTTCCCCAACATTTCCCCATCACTAACCCGACCGCACCTTTCTGCCAGTGCGGCCATGCTAAAAATTGCCGAGATGGAATACAGCGGGGCCAACAGCATCTTCTTGCGACTGCTGCTGGATAAGAAGTATGCACTGCCCTACCGGGTGCTGGACGCCCTGGTCTTCCACTTCCTGCGGTTCCGGACAGAGAAGCGCGAACTGCCGGTGCTCTGGCACCAGTGCTTCCTGACTTTGGCCCAGCGCTATAAGGCAGACCTGGCCACAGAGCAGAAGGAGGCCCTCCTGGAGCTGCTCCGGCTGCAGCCCCACCCACAGCTGTCCCCTGAGATCAGGCGTGAGCTTCAGAGTGCGGTACCCCGAGATGTGGAAGATGTTCCCATTACCATGGACTGAGGAAACAGTCACTCATCCTGGTCTGAGGGGCGTGGGAGGACACCAGGATCCCTGTTTGGTGACTAACAGTGACACTGAGCCTTTACAGCTGAAGGCCCAGTTTTGGGCAGTGACGGCTCATGGGCATCTGTGACTCCCAGTACCTGACAGGGAGGACAGCGTCTAGCTGGCTCCTTTTTCCATTCTAGGCCATCGTTCCTGCTCAGTTCTGGAGCTCTTTGAGATTCCACACCCAGCATTCCACATACTGCCCTGCTGGGGCTTGGAGTAAGTACTGTTCTCTCTCAGGCTGTTGTGTCACATCACTGGGATGTGGATAAAAAGGCGGTATTTATTGAGCTTCTGTGTTTTAATGTGATTAGTGGAGATCTTTCTGCTTTCCCTCTTTATCTGGAGGAAGGAATTACTCTTCAGGTTCCTGTCTAGGAGTGCCTTCTCACCCAGTTTATGCATGAATCCCTTCCCATCCCTACTCCGCAGTCTTGCTGCTCCAGGCTGTACCCAGCGTGAGCTCCCAGGGGGCACAGTGTCTGCCTCTCCCCAGTGCAGGCTGCTTTGGGAGAATGCCAGCAACCAGGAGGTGGTACAAAAGATGGTGTCTCACCTGTGGATGAAAGAGCTAGAGGAGAGTGGAAATACAAGGGCCAGACAGATCAGAGAATACTGGTTGTAACCAGGTCTGGGCCACCACCAGACAAGTTCGCTTCCTAACTTTCCTTGACTGCTAGGAACGTTAGACCAGAGATTGGCAAACTAAGGTCTATATGGCCTATGAACTAAGACTGGTTTTCATATTTTTTAGTGGGTGGAAATTTTTTTAAACTATTTTGTGACAGGTGAGAATTACATGAAATTCACATTTCACTGCCCGTAGTTTTACTGGAACACAGCCACTGCCACCTGTTTACATGTCTTCTATGGCTGTTCTCGTGCCGCAGTAGCAGAGTGCAATCCTGGAACCTTGGCCTTTGAAAAATGAATTTTTCCCAGCTGAATTCATATATTTGGGGACAATATGATCTCATAAGGCAGATAATCTCATTTATTTATTTGCAGTTTTGTCCTTGAGAAACATGTGAAATCAGAAAACCACACCCAGCTGAACCAAACCAGATACATAAAATACATGCATCTCCAAGGCGTGGGCTGGGAGTCACACCCACATCTGGTGTTAAAACCCACCTTCCACATCCTTCCGATCTCTTTCCATGAGCTTTCTTCAGGTCTTTTTGAAGACACAGGCCTGTTTATTGTATTGGGTTGACCAAAAAGTCCATTTAGTTTTCTCCAGAAAATAAAAGACACATTTTTCATTTTCACCAGTAACTTTGATTTGGATATTTTGAGTATTTAAGCTATCTCTCATGTGGTATAATGTTGATTGTCATCATTTAATGCCTTGATTTGATCACTATCAACTTTAACTGGTGTACCTGACCATGGAGCATCATCCAGTGAGAAATCTCCAGCACCAAACTTCACAGACTATTTCTGACACGTTTGATCAGTCACAGCACTTTCCCCATACACTGCTCAAATCTTTTTTTGCCTTCCAGTTGCATTTTTACCTTTCTTGAAATGATAAAGCATAATATGCTGAAAATGTTGCTAATTTTCTTCCACCTTTAATAATAAAATGGCCACCCCAAAATTTACCAATTTGATGTTTTTAAGTGCACACTGATAAAACAGCTGTCACAATACAGTAACAAAATAGTTTCAAATGAAGTGGAAGATGACTAAGCACTACTAGCCATCTTACCAAAAAAAAAAAAGACCTTTTTGGCCAACCCAGTGTTTCTTCAGTGTATAAAAGCTGTTTTAAAAAAACGTCCTTCAGTGTTGTACCTTAAGCCCATACATCAAGTCCTGTGGGTTTTATTAGTTTTGCATAGTGCATTGATTTAGGAATGTACGTGTTCCATTATAAAGCAAAGTTGACTATATGCGGGGCAAACAATATGGCCCACAAACCTAAAATATTTATTCTCTGGCCCCTTACAGAACAGCCTCAACCCTGTTTGAGGCCACTGATTGCTGCTTGCTATATCTGATGCAGTTTAGAAATGGACCTTTACCCACGCAACCATCCAATCCAAGAAGCCAAGGCCAATGTTATACCACAATCTTTATTAAAGACCTGTGTCAACAGGGCTTGCCTCCCCTCAGACAGGGCACTCGGTCACCTCCGGGTCATCCCTGCTTCCTCCCCTGCTGAAGGATGGGGCAGAAGGCCAAAAGGAGAGGGCCTGATGACTCCCCAGGCTGTAGCAGCTCCTTGGTTGCAAAGATCCTCTAGTAGCAGAGGGGAAGGATGCAGCAACCACCAGGATTGGATTACCACCTCTTGTGGGGAAAATGGGCCCCACCACTCTTAACAGCTGTATTCAATGCAATTAATAAATTAAAACAACCTCTTCCTTCAGCACTGACACCCCTCCCCCATCACATAGGAGAAGCTGAGCAGAAAGCAAAGCAAGGAGGAATTGGTTGATTCTTGAACCTCTGGCAGAGGCCTGCACCCCTCCCTCTAGGAGCAGCTGTTAGCTTGGATGCAGGGATCTCCAAAGTGTGTTGAGAAGAGCTGTCCAGACTGTGTCTCTCAGAATATTGGAAATTTCTTCAGAAAGACCCCAATCCAAATGTAATTCTAGAAGGTACAGCACCTTTATAAGGCACCAGGGTATTTTGGAGAACATGAGAACCCCTAAGATAAGGGGCCTCAAAAAGGAATGCTGATACATATATTTCACGTACTTCAATTTTGTCTCTGACCAGCCTGACCCACCCGCAGCCAGGGAAGGAGCTGAGCTGGTCAGAGGCAGGGAGAGAGGGGCCTGACTGTCCACCCAGATGTGGCTGGCCGGGGCCCCTTAGTGCACACTGCAGGAATAGGTAGGACCTGCCCCTCTATTTAGCAAAAGGAAAACAGGAAGGAGCCCCCCCAGACTTCAGTCGTCCATTCTTGGCAGGCAGGGAGGGGGGGTGGCCATGTCCCCTCTTCTGCTGTCAGTGGCCACTAGAGGGGGCCTCTCCGGGGCTACAGATGGATGGCTGTGACTTCTGTGGGAGTGCTGGTCTGGCTGGGCCCCTGGCTGCCAGAGCCCCTGGGGGCTTTGGGTGCTGGGCTGGGGGAGGTCTGGGCGGCTTCCCTGAGGCTCTCCCTGAGTGCAGCTTCAATCTGCTCCTGACAGGCCCGAAGGCAGTCCTGGGAACAAAGGGGAACTGTAAGAAGGGACTGCTGGGTGAAAGGGAGGAAGGTCCCCTTGGAGCTAAAGGTCCACTTCCCTCCTCACCATAGCATATGGCAGCAGGTGCTGCGGATGGACACCTCCCAATGCACTGGGAGGTCTGGGGAGTTAGGCCACAGCCCAGCCCCAGGAATCAGCCTTCAATTCTCAGAAACTGGCAAGAGGATGTGGCAAGTGAGTGTGAGAGCAGCCCTGCAGCTGACACCAAACCCCCACCCCCACTCCTGCACACCATTCGGCAGGAATGGTGCCCGCCCTTCAGCTGGCCCAAGACTACTTGCTGTCCACACCAAGGCAGGAGATAAAGGCCAAAGAAGCCCCAAGGGCAGGCCACGTGAAACCAGGAATGTGGATCAGGTTGAAATGGATGCCTCCCTCTGCTGGAGGCTCAGGGAATAGCGATGCTTTGTGAAGTTAACAGGCTGCCTCCCAGCTGCCCAGCACTCACCACTTCAGTGCCTGTGATCCCTGCCAGCAGCTCCGTGAGCTCATCTCCAGATATGGAGCAGGCACCCAGGCCTTGCACTGCAGCCCCAATGCTGCCTGTGGCGATCATGGATGGTGGGTACATGGCAAAGGTGTAATCTTGGAAAGAGAGAGAGGGAACTGTGAGACAAGAACATCAAGACTAACAGCCAGCATAAATAGAGCAGGGGGCATTATGGAAAATGCCTGCAGTGAGGAGCGTAAGACTCCCAGGGGCCAGGAAGAAAGGTGGGAAAGGTCCTCTCCTAGAGTGTCGGGGTGAATAGCAGATTGTACAGGTCAAGTCTGGGGTAGTCCTTAAGTGATACTGGCCAGGAACCAGAGAGTGAATGAGTCCCTGGTGTGGAAACAAAGCTAGGGTCAGGTCAAGAGACCTGAGTTCTCTCCAGCCCTCGGAGTCCCTACTTACGTATGTGCTTGGGTCTCTAAGATCCCATACAGCTCTGATAGTGTCCTACTTCTTTTCTGTATTGAAACGGGGGTTCAGAGGGGATATAATTTTCACAAATTCTGAAAGGCATGTAAACCAGAATCTCCTAGTTATCTCTGGACCCTTCAGTCTTGATTTTCCTGATTTGGCAAAAATGTACCTAGAGATATTACCTGTGGCACAGAGGGCCAAAAAGGTCTGAGCATGCTTTTTGACCAAGGCCTGTCGATCACTGGGCAGAGAGAGCCGGTGCAGAATCAGGGCCAGGAAATCATGGGCAATCACGGCAGCCAGGTCCCACTTGAGCTTCCCCAGGACCAGCACCTCCCAGTCCTGAAGGTTGGAGAAGAAGGTGGGGTCAGTGGCTTAAGATGGGAAGGTGGTAAAGCAGAAGGAAGCCCATCAAACTTGAAGGTCAAGACCCCTGTTCTGCTTCTGGGTTTAGAGACTGGCCCTGTGCAATGGGGGAGTCCAGGGCAGAGAAAAGCTGGGATTTTGCTTTAAGCATGTATTCGTCAGTTACTAGGTGCCTGTCTACATGCTGTATGTGAATTTTTAATCCTATGTGGTTCTTTTGGGGGCCAATACAGGCCTTCTCCTGACTTCATCCAGGGCTCTGGGCACTTCTCCAAGCCAGGACTGAAAGAGACTACAGCAACAAATATACCAGCATCTCCGTGAACTTGAGACTCCAAGGATTTATAAGAGGGAAAATCACCACTAGCCTCTCCCCCAGCTCTGCATCCCAGTCAAGCCTACACCTCTTGAAGAAACGGGAGTGAGCACGAGCCACTGAACCAGCCCTGAGGTTCCTCAAAGGGGAGGTTGCCCAACCCAGCCCACATCCCCTTGGTGGGACATGAGGGTTGGGTCCTGAGATACAGCACCCCACTCCACCCCCTTTAGCTGGCACCCATAGTGCCTAGTGCCATTTGAGTCTCAGATGTGGAGGCCAAGCGAAACAGGATGGATCTGGATGATCCCTGAGACCAAACCCTATCTCCACCTGCCCAAGCATGCACACCCCTGCTGGGTTCCAGGGGGAGTCTTAGAGCCCCACCCCAATCCACGAGTCTGGGGTTCTCAGCTGTGGCCCCATTTTTGAGTTGCATACATGGAGATTTCTTCATTGTTTTATCTCAGGAAGGAACTCATGGGCTTGACCCCTTGCTAACGCAGAAATGGTAACCCCACCCGGCCTCTCCCAGGCCCCGCCTCGGTGTCATCCTCCCAAATCAGCCCCAAGCCTCTCACAGGGCCCCACAGAAAAGAGCCTGGCCTGGAGCCAAAATAAGTTGAGCAGAAAAGCTAGCATTCTACTCCTGTTGCTTTTCTCAGGGGCTGAACTCCTAACCCAGAAGTGAACAGAAAGGTTACTGCATGGAAGGCAACTTGGAGTGGGATTCGCCCTGCATGGAGGCATGGGGTTCTATGTGAAGGAAGGTAGCCACCCTACCCTGTATCCAGGCAACCTCTGAGAATCTCAGCCCTAGTTTGGCAGACCCTAGGAGGGATTAGTTGCTGTGGCTGGCAGCTTCTGTCATATCCCGAAGCCTTTAAGGCCACCTGGGCTAGCCGGGAGACCCAGATTCTTCCCCACCCTTCCTGCTGAGCAGGACCCTTCCCTCCTTCTCTAGGCCTCATCCCTCCCTGCCTCACAAGCATTTGGACGAAGTTCTCTGAGGTCCCTTCCGATTGTGACCTTCTAGAAAGCCATCTGCACGCACCGCCCCCAGCTCAGGCAGAGGGAGTGGGGGAAAGGAAACTTTTTGTTGTTCTGAAAAACTTCCCTCATACAAAGGCACACATACCATCCAATCTTTTCACAAAAAATGAAGTCCCCTTGTACTTTCCAGCCCAAAGCCCTCTGAAAACATCTTGCTTGCTGGCCCTGGAAACCATCTCCACCTTCAGACTTGCCAGAACTACCAGATTCATCACAAAGAGCTGTGGGGCCTCCCAGATTCCCAACTCCGGCCTCCTACTCCCATCTCTGAGAGCTACTTGGCAGGAAGAGGAATCCTGTTCCTGGACAAGCAGCAGTCGGGGGCCCTAGTACCCTGGCTTCCTGGCCAGCCAATCACAGCAGCCTGCATGCTGCCCTCCTCCCCGGGAGATGGGGCCCAGAGACTCCTCTCAGGGTCAGAAGACTTGCCAGTGCAGAGCAAGGTTGAGGAAGGTGCCCACTCACCCACCCTCTCCCACAGGCCCCTCAGGAGGTGATCTGTACATCCTAAATAACCTCTTCCAGATCCAAGCTGCTCCCCCACCTCCTCTCCAGGCTTTGGGAAGAGAACCGGTGACTTTCCTGCCCTACCTCAGAAGAACCCACCCCAAGTTCCCAGCAAGAGGCCCAGGGAGCCACTTCCCAAACCACAGGAGTGACAGCAGCTCCCCACAGGGTTATGAAAGACCTTGGTCGGAGTGGGCGGGCCAGGGGAGGGGGCATCATTATCACATCGGAAGCAGCTGCAGCTCAGCTCCCTGTCTGTCCCTCAGCTCTGGCCTTTGGCTAAGGAAAAGGGAGAGAGGATTCCACCAGGCCTGAAGCAGCTGCTGAAGTTCCTCAGAATGAGGATTAGGAAGGAGCAGTCTCTTCTGGGATATAAGAGGAAGGAAATAAGGTGGGATGAATGAAACTCCTTGGCCCTTCCTCAGAGCAATTGGGGCTGGGCTTTAATCTGCTCTGGGAGGCTTTTCAATCACAAAGTCCACACTGGAATAAAGACTCACCCAAAGCAGCCCCCCTCCCCCACATGAAAGCACATTCCACTCACCCACTCCAGTGGGGGTGTGCAGGCATGTCCTGCTGCTGCCAATAAATAACTCATGATGGTTGTGTAAACCCAGAGGCAAAGTATTAGTGAGTGTAGACATGCAGTTTGACTTGTTGCTATCTGGGGGAAAGACCAAGGAGTGGCACCCCCTGGAGGTCAGGAGAAGGGGAGTTAGTTCCTGCTGGCAGCTTAAGCCTGGGCGAGGGTGGAGACAACTGGACCGTCACACCACACCATCCCATCTTTTGTCCAAATATATAGTCTCTTTGGTCCTGAGCCCTAAGGCAGAAAGCCTGAGGTCTTAGCTTTCCTTTTCCTCAGTAGGTGAGCTGTATGTGTTGGGGGTGGGGGAGTTACGCACGCACCCGCATCTGGCGGGGAGAGACAGCGTGGTCGGTGTAGATGCACAATTTTTCGATGGTCAGTGGAGTAGTCTCACGCAACTTGGAGGCCAGCAGCATGCAGACTGCCCCCAGGAGCTGCAACTGCGCCTTGGGGGTGGGGACACAGGACAGGTAGCGATCCAGGTAGTTCATGGCCAGCGGGAAGACTTCCTCCTCACAGCGCTGCTCCTCACATACCTGGGGGGGTGGGGGGGGGAGGACACAGTCACTTCTGGGAAGGGGCTTGGGAAGCACAGCAACACTAAAGGTGAAAGGAGGGTCGCTGAAGGGAAGTAGGGCGGGAAGGGGGGAAATAGGAAGGGGGTGAATGTGCTTACAATGACAAGGACTAAGGCGGAGGATGCGCTTTCCCCAAGGTGACGCCCCCCCCCTACTTCCTCAGTGTTGCTTCCTTCCCTCCTCCACGGGGTGGGGGTGGGGGGGGGTAAGCCAGAGGCTGCCTTAAGGACTCAAAACTGAGACTCCCCTCCCCCATGGTGATGTTCAAGAGTCACCCACGGTAGCCAAAGAGCTGAGACCTTACCCCCATTACCATCACCCACGCACAGACCCAAAAGGAAGGGAGGAGACTCCTGCCGCTGCCTCCCGCACTTTTCATTTCCCTGACCGCCGGAACAGTGCGCGCGCCACCCCCACCGCCTATCCCCGCCAGAACCCCGCGACAGACACAAGAACCGGCTCCCGGCAGGGGTGGGGGCGGCGGAGCCCAGGGTTTTCCAGGCGCACTCTCCTAAGAAGACGGGGCGGGAAAGGGAGGCAGGAGACGCCAGAGAAGCCGGAGGGAATAAGGTGGACCCTGTCCCGCTTTCCTGGCCGGAAGAAAGGATTAGTTAGGGTGCCAAACCACTGGCAGTCAAAGTTGGGGTTGGGGAAGGAAAAGAAAAAAGGACAGAGGCGGCCGGCTAGGGTGCCGAGTGAAAGAAAGGTCAGGCCCAGAGGTTTGGGCAACTGAAGCATCTCGCTGATTGTTATTGAGACCAGGATGTCCCAAAAGGGCGGCCCTGGGATGTCCGGAGCCGAGGACGCAGGGCCGGCGGGGGAGGGGAGACAAGTCCAGGCTGTACCTCCAGCATCCAGTACGCCAGCATCTTCCTCATGTGAGGCTTGATCTCCCTCTGCACGCACTGGAAGTAAGAGGCGCCGGGCACGTAGCGCTCCTCCAGACGGAGCAAGCTCTGCAGGACACGCTGGTCCCCCAACAGCCGCGGGTCCGGCCCGGCCCGGGGCGCATGCCGGGTGCCCTCACAGCACAGCAGCTCCATACTTCGACAGCGCACGGGAAGGACCGAAGTGTGGGCTCGCGAGCCAGAACGCAGGCGGCGGGCCGGGAAGCGCGGGGTGCGGGCTTGCTGCTCGTGCTGGCACTGCGCGGTGGAACCCCGGCCCGCCTGCGCCAGCGCGCGCCGCTTCCCTGACAGGCGCCCGGCCCCTCGCGACGATGTAGCAACGGTGGAATGCTCTAACGTCACACGTTCCAAGGGGCGGAACCGCTGCGCTCCAGACGGAAAGGGCTGGCGGGCGCCCCACCCCCTCTACCCCAGCGGCCGCATTGGTCGCCAGAGCGCGGGCCTGCCGGCTTCCGGTTGCCCTGCGCCCTTCAGACCACCCGGCGGAGAGAGCTTTCTTGGAAGTGGACCTCTTCCCCACCAATGAGCCCTCTCATCTTGCTTCTCTGATATTAGTGGCCCAGGAAAGAACTTTTCTCCAAAGGTTATTCATTCATTGGTGAAACCCTGCTTCACCCCCTGCTTGCTCTAGGGAATATAAAAACTAATAAAATAACTAGTTCTGTTCTAAGCACTTACTGTGCAATAACTTATTAAATCCACAAAAACTCAATGACTTAGGCATTACACTTATTTTGCAGATAAGGAAACTGAAGCATACTAACAATCACTAGTCTGCGGCAGAGGTAGGACTGGGAAGCCGGCGGTCTGGCTCCAGAATCTGCTCTCTACCATTAGAACCCCATTGCTACTGCACGGGTGCCGTGATTCCAAAGGCCGCATCATCTGCACGGCCTCAAAGCTGCTTAGAAATGCAGACTCTTAGGCCTCTGCCTGACCTGGGGGATCAAAATCTGCATTTCAACAAGACCCCCGCTGATTCCTGTGCTCATTCAAGTATGAGAAGGCCTGGTCGAAATCAGCACATTACAGGAATACAACAGGACGGAAAAGCCATGGTTTCAAGACCTCACCTTGTCATTAAGTCTGCTGTGTGGCCTTGGACAAGCCCTGAAAGTTGGCCTTAGCTTCTGTTTGAGGAAAACGTGGGCGGAGAAACTAGATCCTCTCTGAAGGAGTTTCTTCCTCAGACTCTCTAAAATCTGCCAACTGCCATTTCTTCTAACTCACAAACTTTGGATTACTTTGTAGTTTCCCCCAAGCTGGATTCCACATGACCAAGGCAGACCACAGGCCTCCATAATGCTCCCAGTGGGAGGTGGCCTTGGGGAATTCCTGCCTTTCCAGAGGTCCTCCTAAGGGAAAGGACACCAAGGAAATGAGTTACTGGAGAAACAACATTGTCTGGAAGAGGCAAGTTCTGTGTGAAACATTTTCTCAATGAGTTGTTCTTTTTTACATAATAAATTTTACTGTAGTTCTAATATCCTGGAAATATTCATTTGCATTGTAGAGGACTTTGAAAATAGAGATTAAGCCACACACAAAAAAGGGAAAATAACTACTTGCACTTTGACCATCCAGAGATAACCCTTTAAAATGTAAATATTTTTCTAAAATTGTTGTATTTTTTAAAATGAGATAATTGAAAACTGTTTTGTAAGTTTTTTCCCCACTTAAAAAAATTATACTGTTAGCACATTTCCATGTCATTAAATATTCTACATTATTTTTAATGGCTACATAGTATGCCATTAAAGGCAGGCATTTTATCAAACATGTACTGTTGGAAATTTAATCCATTTCTAGATCTTCCTTATAAGAAAAATAGTGTGAAATATTTTTGTGTACACTCACAATTATCTCTAGAAGTGAATTTTTAGAAGTAGAATTTGAAGTGAACCCCTCCATAAATCTGTATTACCCAACTGACACCACACAGTTATTACAGTATCATTGACTATATTCCCTGTGCTGTACTTTATATCCCTGTGATGACTTTTATGATTGGCCATTTGTGCTTCTTAATCCCTTTCACCTTTCTCCCATCTTTCCCAAACTCCCTCCCATAAATCTCATTCTAATTTCCCTGCTGAGAGGTTGGGAAGAACAGACATTAGGTATCTACATTTTTTAAAAAAACCCTCTCCCAACTGGAAAAGTGAAGTGTAGTTTATCAGTAATAAAATATACATGTATTTGTTTTCAATTCAAGAGCTTCTGTTATCCCAGCACGTGTGCCACACACCCATCCAATCGTATGAACCCTCTGCTCCTACCTTCTAGAGTATAAATATGAGCTGTTCATTAATCATGACACTGCACTCTTTCATTAAAGAGAACTACATATTTAAGATTACAGAGCATAGATATGAAGTTATGGGGAGATAAAGATGTTGAAGTGTAAGAGGTTTTTAGGGTACAGGAGAACTAAAACAGGTAGCTTTTGAAATAAGTACATAACCAGGAACCAGATCTGCCCTGAAGGAAGGTACTTCTTTACTTTCAGAATTACTGAGTCGGACTGTTCAGGTTATAAGGTTGTTTTTCCTTGATGAAAAAGTAAATCACCATTTAAAAAATGTTTTCCAGTGTTATTGAAGTATAATTGCCATATGTATCAATTGTATTAGTTTAAGGTGTACAACATGATTTAATATATGTATATATTACAAAATGATTACTGCAATAAGTTTAGTTAACATCCATTACATAATTACAATTTTTTCTTCTGATAAGAATTTTTAAGATCTCTTTTAGCACCTTTCAAATATATAATACAAAACTGTTAACTATCATCCCTGTGTTGTATATTATGTTCCCAGGACTTATTTGTCTAATAACTGGAAGTGCCTTTTAACCACCAATTCCTACCTCTGACAACCACCAAGATGTTTTCTGTTTCCCTCAGTATGGAGTTGTAGATTCCACATATAAGTGAGGTATTACAGTATTTGTCTTTTCTCTGTCTGACTTATTTCACTGAGCATAACGCCCTCAAGGTCCATTCATGTTGTTGGAAATAGCGAGATTTCCTTCTTGTGTGTGGCTGAAATAATATTCCATTGGATAGACACCCCAGATGTCCTTTATGGAGAAAGAAAACTGGTGAGATGAAAAGTAGTTTTTTAGTAATAAGACTTTCATACTTCATTGAACATTTACATTTCTTATGAAGATAATTACCTCTTCACTCCCTTTGCCCATTCTTTTATAGAGACTCTTGTTATTCTTATTGATGTATAAGTGCTCATTACACTTTAAAAAAATTTTTTTAAAGATTTTTATTTATTTTTAGAGAGAAGGAAAGGGAAGGAGAAAGGGATGGAAAGAAACATCAGTCAGGGTATGCCTCTCACATGCCCCCAACAGGACCAATACATAAGGGAAGAAGCCACAACCCAAGCATGTGTCCTGACCTTGAAGAGAACTGGCGACCCTTCGTTTTGCAGGCCAGCGCCCAACCTACTAAACCATGCCAGTCAGGGCACTCATTACATTTTAAGGATACCCTTTTTTAATTTTTTCTTTTGTCATATATCTTATAGATTTTTTTAGTTCACAGTTTGCCTTTTATTTTTGCCTTATGGTAGAGTTATTATTATTATTATTTTTAATGATTTTAGCCCTGGCTGGTGTGGCTCAGTGGATTGAGTGACAGCCTATGAACTGAAAGGTTGCCGGTTTGATTCCCAGTCAGGGCACATGCCTGGGTTTCTGGCCAGGTCCCAGTTTAGGGCATGTGAGAGGCAACTGATCTATACACCTCTCACATATCGATGTTTCTGTCCCTCTCCTTCTCCCTCCTTCCCTTCTCTCTAAAAATAAATAAATAAAATATTAATAAAATAAAATTATTTTAGAGAGAGAGAGAAACATCAATTTGTTTGTTCCACTTAGGTATGCATTCATTCATTGGTTGTTTCTTGTATGTGCCCTGACTGGGGATCAAACCTGCAACCCTGGCATATCAGTGGTGACACTTAACCAACTGAACTACCTGGCCAGTGCTGGTAGAGTTATTTTTAACAAATAGGAAGTTTTTATTTTTATGTAGCCTTATTTACTAATATTTTGTTTAATTATTCCTGCCTTTGAATCATGACTTCCCCACTGTAAAATTATAAAATTACCAGAAGAAAAGGTAGGAAATACTTATAGATGATTTTTTAATACCATGGAGCTTGTTGCAAGCGCAGATTTCTGGGCTCTGCTTCAGGGCTTTATATTCTTTTTTTTATTTACTTCATTTATTTATTTTTAAAGAGAGGAGAAGGGAGAGACAAAGAGAGAAGAAACATTGATTGGTTTTCTTTCACATGCCCCCAAGGGTGGGGCGAAGGGCCTGGTGCACAGACCTGGCCTGAAACCCAAGCACGTGCCCCAACAGGAATCGAACCTGTGTCCTTTTGCTTTTTGGGACCACGTGCAATCCACTGAGCTACACCAGTCAGGGCAGGACTTTTCATTCTTCACGTCTGTGATGAGGCTCCGAAAATCTGCACTGTCAAGAGTACATACAATACAGGTTTTTATTTTTAATGTGTAAATTGTTACCTACATTTATTCAGTGTATAATATTAAGTGGGCTCTATTTATTTCCCCCCAATTATCATCCACTATATCATACAGCACTGATTTAACAATCTGTTCTTTATTTCATTCACTTCTCTGTTACAAGTGCTCCTCAGTCTGGTTCTTGCATCTTAGATGATGCCTGGTTTGGTCATTCACAGCCAAAGACTTTCACGGAGAACTAGCCCTCAGAATTCCTGCCATTTGTGCCTAAGGAATCTCAGCTGGTCTTTATCCAATTATCAGGGATAAGGGTGCTTAACCCTTGGTGAGACACCAAAAGCTCATTTAATCTGAAATAACCACTGCCCTCCACTTCTGCAGAGAACTGATCTTCAACTGCAGCAAGAGGGATGCAAGTTAGATAGCAGGGAAAACTCCAATTAGACAATGATATAGAATGAAGAAAGAGTTAGCAGAATCTTCTCTGTAGATCTCCAAAAGCACGCCAGGGCCTCTGTGGCCCTTCCCATCTCCTCAATCCCCTCCTCCATCACCAGTCAGCCCACTGATCCTCTGCTCAGTTTATTCACCCTTCAAGGCCCAGCTGTGATCTCATCTCCTCCAGGAAGACTACCTGGAACAATCCAGCTCCAGGAACCAACCCTCCGGCCTCCCAATTCCTACAGATCCCACTGTACATGCCCTACATGTGGCTGGTGTGGCTGGTGGTTCTGGACCTGCTCTCTCTCTCTCCACGTGGAGTGTAAAAGCCTATAAAGGGTAAGATAGTCCACATGTACCGACCTCCGACTGTGTGCCAGGCCCTGGGCAACGTTTTTACAGTGCACCGTCTCACCCTCTAAGAATGGTTTTTGGATGGGAAAACTAAGGTATGCTGGAATTACTATATTTCACCATGTATCATATGCACTTTTTTTGCCCAAATTTTTGAGGGAAAAAATAAGGATGCGCATTATACATAGGTAGTACTAATTCTATATCTATATAAATGTTTTTAATTCTTTTATTTATGCTTATGCATTAAAAGTATAACTCTAGAAAGCAATAACGATATCTGTATGCAAAATAATACCCCAGAACAGGATAATCGGTTTTATTTCTAAATATAAATCAATCAATCAATCAATATATAATTGAATTTTTAAAATTAAAATTAAAGATTTCTTTCCTGAAAGTTTGGTACAAGAATGTATGTGCTCATTATACACTGAAAAATATGGTAAATAACTTACTAACGGTCTATGTAGCCCCTTCCAAACCACCCTTTCAAATCCTACACTGCTCCTCCTCGGGGCAGGGATGGCGTCCTGTATGCCTGTGTCTGCTCTGCAGCACCAAGCACTGTGCAGTGACCACTGGTGACA